CCCAGTTTCCTCACCTGCCAAATGGTAGGGAGAGCCTCCAAGGGGCCCTTTCAGCTCTATCTTTCTATGATTCTGTGAGCCAAGACTGTTTAGTTCTAAGTACACAGCCAGAATTTGTGAATCGAGCAACGTTTAGTAACTGCCTACGCCAGACAATGCCCGGTAGAAGGCATCACAGAAGTTATAAAGACATAGATGGTCTCTGACCTTCACAGAGCTCACATCCAGCTGTCAGAAACAAACAAAATACCAAGTGAAACGTTTGTTCAAAACAGAATTCAGAAGTAAAAGAAATGTTATATACAATGAAAGAATTTTACTTTCCAAAGAGAAGAACGAACTGGAGGGGAGGGGTGGGCAGGGAGAAAAGTGCAACAATGAACGAATAAAAATCCAAAGTCTCCGTAAATTTTCATTAAAATTAATAATGATAATAAAAAGAAATGTTATATGATTATCTGTTAAAATTAAAATTAAAATCACAGCCATCAAGTCGACTGACTCACAGGGGCCCTCCAGGACAGAGTAGAACTGTCGACAGGTTTACAAGGTGGGACTCTTTACAAACACAGACTGAACTGACACAGCCTTCTCTGGTGGAGCAGCTGGTGGGTTCAAACCGCCAGTCTTCTGTTTAGCAACTCAGTGCTTAACCCTGGTGCCACCTGGGCTCCTATTTGCTCAATGTGCCAAATAGGCAATTAGTCCTAGGAATGCAGAAATTACAGGAATGGTTTCATGAAGGAAAACTGGAGACGGAAGTTGGAAAGAGGTGGAACTGAGACAGGCTAAGAGAAGCTAGGCACTTACGAGGCAGTGCAATAAAGCTTTGAAGGTTCACTTGATTCAACAGCTCCTCTGCCAATATGGACATCAAAAGCACCCGTGAGGATCAGGCTGACAGAACCTGCTTTGACAGTTTCCGATACGATTTCCTCTCTATTTCTTATAGTGAGAGAATAAGCACCAGTCACAGTGCACACTGCTTCTATTTCAGGGGTCAAGGGTCACAGTTGTTCTTGCCGCAAGAGAAGTCTGAGGACCTTGACCCCCACTAATGTTCTGGTCCCCAAGTTAAAACAGAAAGCTACGAAGTCAATTCCAGAAGCCTGTATACTTGGTCCTTTCCCCAGGACCATGCTTTTATCAGGAGCTAGTATTTGACTAAAGATTACAACAGCCTTTTAGTTCCTGGACAGCTCACAGGTTGTCACTGTCATTCTGCATTCTGTCCTAGCATCCCAGGCCAAGCTGCATTCATTGCACAGGCTGGGTAGGTTTGGGCAGAAAAGCACTCAAAATGGTCCATGTGCTCCATGCATATATGCTCTCGTATTACCCTAATACCTTATGCTAAGAAGAAATCGGCAAGTCTTTTTTTTTAAAAGCACTCTACAATTTCTACTCTGCTTTTAAATCTAAACACATCGAGCTACCTATTGCTAATCTGACACTCTTTTCATCCCTACCCCCTTTCTCTCTCCCTATCTTTTGAGGAGGGATAAGTGATATTGAAGCCTTCCAAAAGGGCACAGTTACACAGAATTTCATATTCTCTGATAGTTGCAAGAGGCGTAAGTGAGAGTCAAGCCTAATTTCTCATCGTGGCCCAAAATTCACTCTGACAGCAGCCCTGAGAGATAGATGGCCACCCACCTTCTCCTAATAAACTTCTAACAATGTTGAGCCAACTGGATCCTTGGTTGACAAGCTGTAGCTTAGTTTGGTTTGATATCTCCAACCTGCAGTCTCTCCACTGAAAATCACAGGCCCCTCCTGCGAAAAGTCAAGAATCCTATAAGGCAAAAAGCCAAGCATCAAAGGCTACTCCTCCGGCATGGTTTTCATTAAGGGGCACCCACGTGCCTGAGATTTCTCAAACCATCTGGCTGACCCAGTGTTGTGCCACAGGAAGCCATCGATCAAAACTCACACTTGTTTCTGAGCACCTGCCACACGTAGGACCCTTCTACTAATGGAGCCCAAGGAGTGACCCAGCAGCCAGAGGACAGGGTGACAGGGTGACTGCGACATCACTGATGGTTCGGGCACTTCACCTGCCTGAAGCAGGGGTTAGATCGACTAACAAAGGAGTTCAGACCCTACACCCCACTGTGTGGCTGATAGAAAGCAAAGATTGACCTGAGAGAGACTTCATTCCTTAGGATCATGCTGGTGCTAGGTGTCTGGCCTGTCATTGGCTAAGCACCAGACAGCCACCACATAGAGTATCTGCATGTCTGTATATGACAGCAGATCGACAGACACACACATGCATGTTGCAAGCATAAATGGCATCATTCTCACAGCAAAGGATTCCTCCCCAGGGCCCTCTCCACTTTGGTCAGAGTTCTATTTCTCCCTTCCACCCCTCAAGTGAACACATTAACTTCCTTCTACAGCCCCCTCCCCTCCCAGGACTCCCTGGACTCCCTGGCCAAGTCCTACCTTTGAAAATATTTAACACAGAGAGAGACAGCTAGAATTCCAGGCAGTATACAAATAAATTCACCTTTCATACCAAGGGCTAAGTTCAATACATAGCTTAGGAAGGAAATGGTATCTTAGTTGAAGACTCAACTTGTCTCTGTCAAACAGTAGCCTGGCTAATTACAAGCTTCACCCCACCAGCAGTCTTCTTCAGAGAGCTTTTCTGGGCCCTTAGGGGCTGAGATTGAAATCAGACTCCCTCCCAGTTCTCAATTAACCCAAAGGTCAAACACTGAGAGTTACCAATCTTGAGCTCCCTTGACCAGTCAAACCAGAGGTTTTCAGGACCCAGATCAATCAGCTCACCCGGGGCCTGGAATAAATCTTATCTTTGTTTTGAATGGTTCCAACTATAAAAATGTAACTGGGAGGTAGAAGAGGAGGAACAAAAAGACAGAGCTCAAATCAGCAGCAGGGGGAAGGAGTGAAAGTGAGGGAGAGTGACAGAGAGCAGAGTCCAGCTCTGCAATTCTGAGAGGTCAGGCAGGAGCAGAGCAAAGCAAACCTGAGGAGAGGGAGGGAATTTTGTTTGAAATGTTAGGTGCCTGCCGGCCCAGCTTCACGCGCTCACTAGTACCACATGCAAGTTTTCTGGAGCAGCAGAAGTCAGCCTGGAAACTAGCTCCAGCAAGCTGCGGGACTGTGCCAAATGCCTTGCAGAATCGGCAGCAGCCGCTGCAGCAACAGCCAACAGGCCTGGAACAAAGAGCTCCTCTGCCCTTACTTTGCTTGCCCTGATCTAAGTGGGGTCTCCCTCCTCCACTCCCAAGCCAGCTGCAAGCATCAAAAAAAGTATTGCAAAGCGGCCTGAAAGGCACTCTTGATGCACTGGAAAAGCCTGGAGCCCTTACAGTGTCATGAATTGAACGTGTTCCCCAAAATATTCGTGTCAACTTGGCTAAGCCAAGATTCTCAGTGATATGATCTGATGTGATCAGCCAATCAGTTGTAAGGAGGGGATATAATAACCTTACTTGAGTCATAAGCTTGATCTGATATACAGGAAGTTTCTCTGAGGTATAATGTTAAAATAAAAAATCTCAGAGGTGACAAGTCAATTCTGACTCATGAAAGCCCTCTTATCAGGCCTCCAAGGTTGTAAATCTTAGTAAGAGGAGATTGACTGATCTTCTTCCTGTTCATCATCTGCTAGGTTCAAACTGCTGACCTTCTGGTCAGCAACTCAATACTAAACCTACCATGTCACTGAGGATCTTTTATCTCCTTTCATCTTATTAAGAGGAAAGAGAAACAAGGGCATCATCATGGAAAAAAAAGTCAGGAGTACATGTCTGTACTCCTTGGACCCAGGGTCTCTCTGATGAGAACCTCCTAGATGAGAAAATTACTGCCAAGCCATATGGAGATCTCTCCACAGGAAGTTCGACTGTGAAAAGTAGACAAGGACCTTCCCTCAGCTGACAGAGAAATAGCGCATTCCTCTAGAGCTGGCATCCTGCATTTGGACATTTAGCCTCCTAAACTGTGAGGGAAGAAACTTCAGTTTGCTATAGCCATCCATTTGTGGTCTTTCTGTTATAACAGCACTAGACAGACACAAAGAAAATAGACAAATGAGGCCCCAGATCCCAGCGCTCATTCTAATGATCCACAAAAGCTGTCCTAACGGTCCCTTCCTACCTCCCATGGCCACATTTCAGCATGGGAATGGCATTTACAGATCACTTGTGTACATAAACTATAGCAAACTGATATCAGCCATGGCTCATAGTCTACACACGCATACACTGAGGCTCTTGAAGGCCCTCCTCAGAGGAAGTAATCAGCAATTAACATTACTCCCATCTCTAGAGTATGCAGCATTCTCAGTGCATCCCATCATCATACCACAGTACCCTAGAATCCATCTGGTCACCTCCCTTAGTAGTAACCTACACAGACTAGATATTACTTGGGGGAGCAGGGAACAACCTCCACAGCCCATTTCAGGCAACAGAAAAGAAGCAGCTGTTGAGCTGTTTTGAAAGGAAGCAAGAGCATCTCACATTTAATAAGCATCTATGCACCAGGCACACAGTTTGTGACACAACTGAGGCTAGAACCCCTGTTCATAGATTCCCAATTCAGTTGACTTTTGCAATCAGAACACAGAAGAATAGAATAGAATAACAGAATCTATGCTTATGGTTGGGTGGAGTTATTACAGTGATGTCTACATTTTGGAGGGATGAAGAAGAGGCAAAGCTTGTAAGGCCATCAGAGTGAAGAGAAAGACACACTGGAAAAGAAGGTATGCAACGTAAAGACACACACTCTCGTTTCTCAAGTTTGCCAAGGATAGCTCTAAATCTGTGTTACCAAACTGGCATCAAAGCTCTTAGCCTCAAGGAAGACCAAGGATTCCCTAGAAGCTTCTCTAAAAGCAATGATGTCACAATTGGCATGACCTATAGACACAACAGTACAAGCCATCTAAGGCCCATTCACAAACTCCCCAGAAAGAATATTCTTCTCCTGGACCCCAGGTAACCCATCATTAGGCAACTCACTCAAAGGCGAAGAAGAGTGTGCATGTCCCGAGGATGAGGAAGAGGGTCAAGTAGAAAATGCCCTTCTGGCGGGCCATCATGACGCGGCCATCACAGCAGAAGGTGTTCCTGCCTGGGAGCTTCTCCCATTTCCGTGTCACCTTCTTTCTCACCACCATCACAGACATGTTTGGGATGCCTGATCCGAAATGAGCTTGTCTACAAGACAGTAGAAGCAGAGGCTGAGTACAGCTTGGAAATCACGTTGTCTGCTACTGCTGCTGCTGGGTCAATCATCATCAAAAGTCCAATTTCTTGATCTAAGAAAAAGAAAACAAGAATAAGAAAATGCAGTTCAATCTTTACCCAGAAACACAAAGACAGACAACAACCTGAAGAGTTGCTTGTTATTATGTACCATCAAGTCAGAATTGACTCATAGCTGACCCTCCAGTGGGTTTTCAGAGGCAGTTAATCGCAAGGGAGGAGACTCTCCATCTTTCCCCCACAAAGCAGCTGGTGGATTTGAACCACATACCTTTGGACTGGCAACACAATGCCTTACCACTAAGTCACCAGAGCTCCCTACCTGAAGAAGTAGGAGTGGGGAAGTAGTAAAAGTTTATTTCCTATCTATGCTTGAGAGCAGGAGTATTTCTTTTTTCAATAGAATCACTGATGAGCTGTTCATCATGGAAACCTGGAAGCTGGAAAGGATTTTATAGGCGATGGTCCTAAAGGAGAGGAAATAAGTGCTCCAGGGTCAAACAATGGCAAAACTGAGATGAGAGACGTGTCCTCTAACTCCTGGACCACACTGTTCTCTAAGCACCATTGACAGATTCCTCAAAATATAATAGCACTCAATGGTGAGGGTAACCGAAAGGTTGGTGGTTCAATCTCACCAGCTGTTCCAATGGAGAAAGGACCCAGTGACTTGCTCCTGTAAAGATTACAGCATGGGACACCCTGTGGGGCAGTTCTAGTCTGTCATATAGCGCTGCTGTGAGTTGGAATCAGCTTGGTGGCACCCAACAACACAAAGAAAAGAGTTCCTTTCCTTAAGCTCCCACATACACACACACACTCCTTCACCTTCTTTCTTCAACTGGCCACTCAAATCTGAATCCCACTAGGGGCCAAATGAGCCCCTGGCAGCGCTAGGAACTCTGTCGACACATACACACGTTGCATTTACTCAAAACAGATTTTTTCCCCCCCTAACCAAACCCTCCAGTAACTTCCTGACTCCGGCAAATGCAACCATCCTGCTGGTCTGGCTGAACATTTGTGGGAATCTTAATGAAACCACATCACGGGCCTGTAAGGTGAACGGCTGAGTTAAGCAAGAGAGATGCAGGGGAATGGGTGGAACGTGATGGAGGGGGGCAGGGGGAAATGGCAGTAGCTGGGAAAAGTCATGAAGGTGCTTCCTGGGCAGATTCTGAATTGCCAGGCCCAGTTTCCCTGTCACTGCCACTCCTCTCTTCCTCTCAGGTATGGTACCCTAAGCCTCTATTTACTGCCACCACATGCTCCACGCTGGCAAGGAGGAGGTGGACGCCTGTCAACCAACTGGAGATCATCCCCAGGCTGGCGAGGGCAGGGCTCCAAAGGAGAGCCGGGCACGGAGCACATCCAAGGCTCCGGCCAGGGGTGGGGGCCCAGAGGTGCAGAAGAGCACTTCCTTTGTGTGAAACTAACCTGGAAAACAATCTCCTCCTGTCAAGCAGCCCTGCAGGAGGAGAGAGCTCAGGAAGCGAAACAGGCCCTGTGAGAACAAAGATCAGAATGGGCCCCAGAGCAATGGGAGCGAGGAACCCTCCTGGTGCCTCAGGCCAGGACCGGGCGCGGCCGCCAAGGGCCCGCCCTGCTGCCGCCACGCGCGGACCACCGCCCCAGGAGCCTTGGAACGCGCGCCCCTGCCAGCCGCGCGCGCACGCACTCTGCCACGTGTAGGAGCCCGGGCCGGGGGCTGCAGCGGCCGAGCTGACAAGGGCAATGCCGACGCCCCCCAAGCCGGTCAGGCTGGCGCCTCAGAGATAGCGCACCATGTAGCCCAGCCCAGGAGCCCCCCACCCCCACCCCTTTACCTGAAGGAGGGAGCCCGTCGGGCAGGGGCAGAGCGCAGGAAGTGGCCCAGCTCGGGGGAATACAGCAGCCGCCAAAGGTGGCAGCGACTCCTCCTCGGCTGGGATGCAGCCTCCTCCTGACAAGTGGCCCCAATGGTCCGGGCCCTAAACCAGCTGTGGCAACCGCCCACCGCTGGCCGAATGGAACGCTGTTGACGTCACCAGGTCGCTCCAGGAGTTGCTCGCCACCCATTGGTCGACGCTTCTTGGCGCGCCCACCCCTGCCACCCCTGTCCCGAGATGCCATTGGATACATCCAACGTCATTCGACGAAGCCTCCGCCCCACTCCTCCACCTAGCTCTCTGCTACAAGCCCACCTGCCAAGGCACCGCCACCCTCCCTTTGGGGTCTGAGCGCCAGTACGTGGTGCACTCCCTTGAATTCATAGTTCAGCTGAGACGGAAGCTAAAAGGAGTGCCAGCTGGACAGAGAGGGCGGGAGCCAGCCTCCATCCCCACACACGCGGCAACACAACACCCCTCACCCCAAACTGGGTCTGCGCTGGGCCTTTCCAGCCCTGACGTTGTTGTTGTTGTTAGGTGCGGGTTGAATTCATAGCAATCTCATATGAGAGTAGAACTGCCTCGTAGGGTTTCCAAGGCTTTAATGTTAATAGAAGCAGATGGTTACATCTTTCTCTGGCAGAGCACCTGGTGAATTAGACCCACCCACCATTCTATTAGCATCCTGAGCCCTTAACCGGTATCCTCCAGCCTATTTGCATCGAAATCAACTGCAACTCAAATAGATTTCACCCTCAGGGAACAAGACAAATCATCTACCTCCCAAATCCCCCTTCGTAGCTAGGATCTTTTGCAGCACTCACCTGGGTGTGTAACTCTAAGGCTTTCAGAACAAATGAAACAAACATAATAAGGGACTCGAAAGGGACAAATCCATAAAAGAGGACATGATCCAAGCCATGGTGTTTTCAGTGCCTTTGTATGGATCTAAAAGTTGGACAATGAACAAGGATGACAGAAGATGAATCAATGCCTTTGAGCTGTGGTGTTGGAGAATTGTACTGAATATCCCATGAACTGCCAAAAGAACACCAGGCTGCTCCTTGAAGACAAGGATGGTGAAACTCGATCTTGGAAGTTTCTCTGGACATGTTGCTAGGAGAGGCCAGTCCTTGGAAAAAGATATCATGCTTAGAAAGGTTGTTGTTGTTATGTGCCGTCGAGTCGCCTGCGACTCATAGCGACCCTATGTACAACAGCCCTAAACTCTCCTCTGTCCTGTGTCAATTGCACTGTCTCTGACACTTCCATCCCAATTATCCCACTCACTGAATCAATTCACCTCACAGAGGGCCTTCCCCTCCTGGGCTGTCCCTCCACCCTCCCAAGCATGATGTCCCTCTCTAAGGACCGGTCTCTCCTCACAACATGTCCAAAGTATGTTTGTTAGTCGGAGCCTCAGAATCCTTGCCTCCAAGGAGCCACCCAGTTTCACCCTTTCCAGGACAAATCTGTTTACTTTCCTAGCAGTCCATGGTATTCTCAATACTCTTCTCCAGCACCACAGTTCAAAGGCATCAATTCTCCTTCTATCCTCCTTGGTAATTGTCTAACTCTCTGATGCATAACAAGTGATTGCGAAGACCATGGCCTGTATCAGGCACACCTGTCTCCACAGAGACACCATTGCTCTTCAGTACTTTGGAGAGGTCCCTAACAGCAGACTTTCCCAGGCAATGCACCTTTTAATTTCCTGGCTGCTAGTGCCAAGACTGTTGACTGTGGAGCCAAGCAAACTAAAGCTGTGTACAATCTCAATCTCTTCACCATCCATCCTGATG